AAGACTTCAGTAATCATATAGTTGTAATGGAATTTAATAAAAAATACTTGTATAAAAATCAAATACCTAAATACTTTATGTAGAAATGACTAGCAGTACAAATGATTAGAAAATAGCTTTAAACTTCTACCATTATTCACAAAATTAAATTTTGAAGGGCCTACACACATATCCAAAAATATGTAAAATGTAAAAAAAAAAAGTATTTTACCATACATTAGTACATGACAGTTGCCATTACACTGAAACACTAAGAAAGTATTACAGATCCAGGTCAACCTCTGTTCCTTTCAAACTGCAAAACTCTTTTGTACTATAAAGCTTCAGCCAAACTGCATTATAATACATTCTCTCATGACTATACATCATTTGGCTAAGACTATGTGGTATGGAAGAAGAGCATAATAACTCTACACAACCAGAGATTATGCTATATGGATCAAGCAACTTCCATCCATATGTATTAAGCTTCACTATGTCCTGCACCACTTAGCACGGGTCCTTTGACGTTCTGGACAGGAACATCAAAGTAGGGTGTTCGTGGAGGAGCGCCGCAGTCATATCCAAGCTTGGCAAAGTCCTTCATCATTACGTTGAAAGAGACTGTTACTTCTCCTTGAGATCTTACGCGGGTCACTGATGAGACAAAGAATTTTAACGGTTATTGTATCTCTCAATGCCAGGCAAATCATAATATCTTTTGCAAATTGCTAATAGTAATAAAGCGAGCCCACATTGAATGACTCAAAGCCTGGTCCTACAGCTCTCATAGGTTGCCACCTTCCCACATACTAGGAAAAGTTGGGGTCCTGAATGCTCTTACCAAGAAAGGGCCTCAAACACCTGAATGCAAGATCAGCACTTGCATGCCTCAGCCCAGGTAGCCATTGTGCACACACTTACATTGCAAGCTATTAACCAATACTTAATGCTTGGGCTTATATTCATAAAACAAATCCCTTATTTGTATTACAACAGTGTACTAAACATAAACAAAATATGTTAACATGAGGGCAATTTCAAGGTTACATAAAACTTTCAGCAATAAATCCAATGACGAGAACAAACTCACCTTCTCGTCCCCTGCCCTGTGCTATTAATTTTGGGTCGACAAACTCTGGTCTTCGCCCTGTCAGCCAGGCCATGAATTTTTGAATGGTAGATGCGGATTCTGGTACAAAAGTGGTGAGTCTGTTGAATTGCCAAATGGATAATAGAATGAATAAGTTACTTTTGTAAACATTATATACATTCATTTCAACATTAAAGATATCTAAAATGAATTGGATATGTTTTTTAGGTTTATTCCAATCCTATTTCATCACTCTCTGGAACAACAAAAAGAGAATCAACCAACTTGCGCGTGTGTTTTCCAGGAGCCAATGGAAGGTGACATGCTGTGTACCCCATAACTACCTCGTTTCCAAAGATATCTGTTCCATAAATACTCAGCACCAACTGGGGCCCTGGCAGAGAGGAAAAGAAAAGGAAAAAGAATTACATTCTCACATCAATTCATTCAATAAATCTGTTACATTGATATTTAATAAATGCAAAAGAAAAGAAAAAAGGAACTCCTGGATAGAGAGGATAACCTGCACTCACATCCAAAGGGATTAGTTGATTTGAAGGTAATATCGATTGGGAAATTCCAGGTGAAGATCTGTCTCTCGTCATCACTACGACGCGTTATCTGAGAGATGCACTCTTCCAGACCCTTATGCAAAGGAAATAAAATTACCCTATCATAATTTTGTCAGTTCAATCCATCTCCACACGGTATGAACATCCATACTCAATGACGGAAATACTTAAAGAAAGAAAAGGGATATGTGATTACTACAGCATTTCTGAGACTAGTTTTTTCCTCATATAATCTGAGGCTCCACAAGTAGTACAACATTTATCATGAATATTGAATGCTCAAACTAAATAGTTCATAAGTATACTAATTATTCCAGATTCTCAAAATATGATTTTTCATAAGAAAATCCTACGGCTTTACAGCAGTGAAGTTGTCAGAAAGAGAAATTGCACAAGAATACAAAATATTTTCACGTACAGAAATGGCCTCCCAGTCTTGCCCTGAAGTAAAGCAGTATGAGAAATACAGATTATCTCCTTCGATAAACTTTCCGCTCTCCACTTGGCCTGTCACGTTCAGCATGAAAATACTAGGAGCACTGACGGACATCTTCCACCTGGTAATCGAGAAGGAACTTCCTGGAAAATGATCTTGAAGAATAATATAAAAGGTATATGATTTTTAAAAATAAAGTAGAATATCATTAAGAAATACAACATTTATTAAATATATAGAATAATGGTGAAATTTGGAAGAGAATGATTAAACATCTTTTTTTAAATGAGTAGCATTTTGCAACTTTCAATCTTGAATTCCAATAAGAAAAATTCTTTTTCATTTTCTTTTTTTTTTTACATGAAACTAATCAACCAGATGGGTGAAAACTTCTTATCTATACTAAAAATATATACAAAATACATAGGTTCTGTTACCTGCTTTCAAAAAAGAAAGCACTATCACAACTAACACATTTACACTGCCAGGTTTTCCTCTATCGCTGTAACTATAGCAACAAAAGTTTTTTTTTTCTTGGCTAATCAAAAATAAAAAATCGCTATATCAAGTTATACTTTAAAACTACTCTGAACATACTCCAAGAAATCAAGAAACCGTAATATAGAAAATAATGGTCAAGTATGAAAGACTAAAAGAAGGCGACCATAATATTCACTTTGTAATTATTCAGAATAAAACCAATGCTGCATTCGGAACTGCTCGTCCTGCTCATCCAGATGAGATGTTTTAATCATTCAGAACCTCTACTATCTCGTCCTGGACAAGTTTTTCATCTCATCCAGCTGGTCCTTCTGCAAAGGTAGGCGAGCAGGACAAGATGACGTCACAATAACTTTTGTATGTAAAAAATGACAGTTAATGCCGGTTGCATTCTAGGCAGAAAGGGTCTTGGAGGTTCCAAATTCAGCCCACTTGTCCTGCTGGTCCTGGACAAGTTGTCTGGACGAGCAAGACAAGCAGTTCCGAACGCAGCATAATAGGGCTATATTAAGAAATGCCTTGTCCTTCCTGCTTGGCACTCCAGCAAAGGCCAACTATAGATATTTGGCAAGATCAGACTTAGACTGACCTATAGGGACATACACCCTCCACTTTGGTTTTGTTTTATTAATTTTGCTTACACTTACACGTCTCCAGAAGTGTTTATGTCGCCAAGAATGTAATTCACAGGCCTAAATGACCTCATCCATTTATGCCATTCCTTGAATTTTTGGAAAGATATTTTCATATTTACTCCTTTATTTTTACAGATAATGTTATGATAATGACAATAATGTTATTAAAGATTAAGAAAAAAAAGTCTTTAAAATATGATTCTTCTTTACCATAAAAAGCCTAGTACTTGACTCTGGACCACCAAAATGAAACGCGAATCAATAAAACACCACGACAATGGCATAATTCTTAATTCGACAAGTATCCTGCGAACCCCAATAAGCCAGAGTCCAAAGGATGAAAGTTGTGTTTGCTTTTGCCTGAATCTTAAAAGGAAGACCATCACCAGAATTTAATAAACAATTCTGGTCTTATCTGTTCTCTAGGTTGAGTATTTTTCTTATGTCATACTATTGTGTTATGTGTTCTTTAAGTTCTTCATATCTAATGACAAGAAGCAACATGACAGTCAACAAACACCAAATCTTACAAACAAATTTCACGTCAAAACGCGACGCCGATTTGAGTTGTTTACAAACAGAGGCACGTGGAAACCTTGGCAACCCATTGCCAATTACTGTTTAAAATATATATAATATATATATATATATATATATATATATATATATATATATATATAAATATATATATACACATATGTATATTATTATATATAATATATATATATGTATATATATAATATATATATATATATATATATATATATATATATATATATATATATATATATATATATATATATATATATATATATATATATATATATATATATATTACATATATATATATATATATATATATATATATATATAATATATATATATATATATATATATATATATATATATATATAATTATATATACATATATATTAATATATTCATAAATTTAATAATATATATATATTTATTATAACTAACAATTAATATAGTATATATATATATATTACTATATATACTATATAGTATATGTTAATAGCTATCACAACAATCCAATACCAATAGGGTATATATCATAATAATAAGAATTAGTAGATCTACGCACTGAGAAATCTATTAAGCTGTCGAATTATATCTTCGAGAGATCGGACTATATCTTGATCTTACTATCACGCGATGGCTCTCACCTCTACATATGTAGCGGGTATTGCTCCCCAGACATTATATATGCGGACAGTAGCCGATCTTGAAGTTAATTATTTATTCACAATCACTTTACACGCGATGTACAACCACCTATATACTATATACATAGTTATAAATACTACACATATATATTACTACTATATTATACTCACAGATCAACTCGCACCATAACCTCAGCTATACTCTCACTCTGCTCTCTCTCTCACGATCTCTCTCTCTCTCTACTCTCTCTCTCTATATTACACTCGCTTATCTCTCTTCTATCCTTCCTTCTCTCTTCCTCTTCCTTTCTACTCCATCGCTAACCGTCTACCTGTCGTGACATATTCTGGAAATACGTCTCTCTTATTTACTTCTGACAACGAATATTTCCTTCTATCAAACTCACCAATAGATGATATATATGACCCTGGTTTCCCATATATCTTCGGATCAGAAATACAGTTGAGATTTCTGAGTTTTCTCTCTAAGATTAATCTGAATACCGGCAGATACTATCTCTTGTTTTGGT